AGCTTTCAGTAAAATGTAAAGTATTTTTAACTTTTGTTTATCTGAATTCATGTTGGAATCCATCTCATTCAAGTTGAATGAATGATGACTTGGCAACTGAAGAGATGAAAGCTAAGGATGAAGGCCTTTGTAAATAGACATGTAATTGCTTTAGAGGATTGCACCACCATAACTCTGCCCTCTTGCTGGGCCATTCCCTGAAACGTCTCTGTATTTTACTGTATTATACTATTTGGTCTATACAGTGTCAAACAATAATTTGTGTAGCACAAGGCTACCTTGTGCTATCTTGAGGAACATTTCTCAAGTTATGCTCAATTTACGCAAACTGTGAAATCCATAAAAGAATTGATCCCCCAAATCAGATTAGCCTTCATCAATGTGTTTCGAATTCAGTCCCACTCACTGGTGGTTAATATATTTCCTTTCTGCATAGCATTTCTGTAACCTTGAAAAATTGTCCTGCCTTGGGAATTCTATCTATTCTTTTTAAGGTTATCGTTGTTCTACTTATAATAATTGAGACCATGTTTTAATGTTTGGTTTTTAAACTATGTTGTGGAACTGTTGTGTATGCCACCTGGATGCAGTACTTGAAAAGCAGCCTTGTAATACTGTAAGTAAATACACTCAAAATAGAAAATTGTAATGTATATTTTCGTGGTAGATAGAGATGTGTTGCATAGCACTTTTGATAGTGATAATGCTGAATTTTATGTACTTGTTTGCAAAGTGCCTGTTTCGCTTTACAAAATGTAACATTAGAAAGAATATAATCCACAAGTTAAATCCATATGTTAGCACTATAATTTTCTTGCCAGAGCATTTCAAAATATTATTTATAAAGCAAACAAGTTTTTCTATTAATTTTAATGTCGATGATATCTTGTTGGAATATTAGAAGAACCCTATATAATATATACACACATTGCTAAAAGGATATAATTCGTTACAATGGCATCTTTGTTCTTTTGAAAGGTCCTTTTTGACTAAGACAAAAAGGGCTAAAATACAGTGTTATGAGTCATTAAATATCTTGAATATGCTAGAAAACCTTAATCTGGTACTAAATAATGAAAGAAATTACAGACTGGTGTGGTTTTGTTGCTGATACTGTGTTTCCCCAAAAATAAGACCCTGTCTTATATTTTTTTGAACCCCAAAATAAGCGCTTGGCCTTATTTTCGGGGAGGTCTTATTATTTTGGGGTGCATGGAGCAAGATGGGGCTCCTCTTGCTATTTTACCTGATTTCCAGCTCTGTGTTTAAATATTTTCGGGGAGGGCTTTTTTTCGGAGTGAGGATTTTAGCACATGCGCTCAAAAGCCTGATTGGGTTTATTATCAGGGGATGGCTTATTTTTGGGGAAACAGGGTATTTTTCTAATGTAATTGATTGTTGGAAAAAAAGGGGAAATTTTGTAATAGCATTACATAATGATAGAATTGTAGGAATAAGTGCTTATAGAAATATTCAACCTATTTTTTTGATGTTAAACTCTACAACAAATACAAAGAAACAGCTGGTGAAATATTAGATCTATATTTAATTTGGCATCCAGAAGAGAGTTATGAAGCCTCTAATTCAACTAATTCTAAAATACTTTCGTTGTTCTGAATTATTTCTTAAAGCATTTTGGCGCTCTTATTATATGTACAGTACATCTTAGAAGAAAAATTACCTATTACAATGGGCTACATATTATGAAATAGCCTTAAGTGATTCTCTGGGAATTTCACAGCAGTCTGTCTAAAGTAAGAGGAAAAAAACCTCCTTTGTTACTTTTCTTAATGTTTCTTCTGGGTAGAAATTGCTATAGCATAGACCATCTTCGGATCAATTTAGCATGAAATTCAGCGTAATGCAAAAAGTTAGATGTTTGTGCAATTTCATCATTTCAACCATCTCAAGAAAACGGTTCCATTTTAAAAAGTGTAGAGTCCTTGCACATAATGGTATCTATAGAACATAGCATTAACCTTTTTCTTAGAATGTAGAATATTACAGAGTTGGAAGGGTCCTTGGAGGTCAAACAACTAAGGTCTTGGGATTCTGAGCAGAAAGCAGTCTTAACATTCTGTTGCCCTGGAAGCAAACTGCTGCTGCTTGATTAGCAGATCAGGATCAATAATACTAGCTCTGCTCAGAAGTAAAAGGAACTAATCATTGATGTTAATTTAAACCTCTCTGAGGTAGGTTTCCTAAAAGATGCCAGAATTACTGGGCAGAGTGCATTACTATGGCTAGAAACAACTGGAAATCTATGAGGGTGTTTCGGAGGAGGAGGGGGTACTCCTATTCACCCTGTGTTATTTCCAGATAATCTTCAAGGGCTACCCCGAAAGTTTCCAGTGGTGCAGTGCAGCTTTGAGGTGCTATAGCCACAATGAAGGAGTAAAGAAGACTTGCCTCTTCCAGATTAGAGTGCAAAAGTTTAATTAGTTTTTATCGGAACTACCTTGCTGATGTTATGCTGCTGTCCAATACTAGTGCTGGATCCAGGAAAACTCTCAAGACTACAAATCTGATTTTTAAAAGAAAGCGCAACACAATCCAAAATAGCTTTTTGGCTCCCAAATCTTAAAATTCAGCTCTTGGAAAATATAATAATTCCATTTTTTTTTTCAAATTTTAACTTCACTTTGTTCTCCCTGTCTAGTACTTTACTGGAAATATCCAATATTGCGCTTGCGGGAGGGGAGAAGTATAAGCTAAATATCACCAGTATATTGAAATATATAATAGATTTTTTTTTCTTTTTATGACCCTTAATCCCTTGCTTTGGGGTGGGGTCGGGGTGACTGAATTCAGTTGAGCATTTACTGGCTGGATGCCCTTCCTGATGCCTACACAGAGTTTGCAGCAGATATTTTCTGTTTGCGCCCTGATAGAGAAACATCTGTTGCTGCTTAGAATTGAACTCTCAACCTTCTGAATGGGAGGTGAGCATCTTCACCATTAGGCCACCACGCCTCCTGAAAAATATGATTGAATAACATCATTATATTGATAGCAGATTATTGCTGGTGAATGATGGATAATTGGAACAGCTTACATCCTGCAATGATAACTTTAACATTATTAAACAGCATCTGTCTATCCCAGGTTTTTGGAAAGGATTATTTGATAGGTAGACAAAAATGCTAAATCAAATCTAAACATCTGATCGATGTACACCCAACCATAATAGAGTGATATAATAGTCAATATGTGCTTTGTTGATTATAGACAGGTTATTAATTGTGTCAACCTTTGTCAAGCTGTGGAAGGTTAGGAAAATGGGAATCCCAGAACATCTTATTATCCTCTCATTCCAACAAGACCAGCATCCTGGGGAAGGCTACCATAATAAATAGTAAACTACATTATCTATAATAATATATAATAGTAATGGATTATATTTTTGATTGGAATGAATTTTTATTTTTGTTCTTTGCTCTTTTGCTTTCTTGAATTTTACATTTTAGAGATATTTTTTTAAATAAAAAAGCATTTTTTATCTGAAGCTTTTCACTTGATATTCTGTCATATTATTAGTCTCCTCATTTCAAGTTCTAAAACAGCAGGATGAAAAATAAGGCAGAAATGTTTATAAATTCTCATTAATATAACAAATGATAGATTAGAGAATGATCTGAAGGCAAAATGCCGCTTTGTTAGTCTAAATTGATCTGAGACTAATAAAGAGAGGAGATTGTTGGAAATTTCCCATATAAACTGCACAAAGTATCTCCACAGAATTATAGTTATGAGCATAATGGACTGCTTAATTTCTTCAAGGAAACATCACTTGAACAGAAGGAGCTTCTGGGTTAATTACAATTAGCTAATTGAAATCCTTTTATTTTTTACCTTTGAGTACCCTAGGTTCCAAAGGCTACACCACTTTCTATAGCTAAACATTTGTAGCACGTTAACAATTGATCATTTTTTAATTATGGGAGGGCGACATAATTATATGAGCAGGAACTGCCATAAGAAAAGGCAAAAAACAAAATAGAGAAACCATGCTTCTTCCAACAAATGTCTAGTACAATAAACTTAAAAACAATTTCAGAAAGGGAATTCATAGCCCATGGTTTTCAAGGTTGATGGTCCAATTCGGAAAAATGATTTGGATTAGAATGCCTTTGAGATATTTTGTTTTTTATAAACTTGCATGATTACTTTTCATTGACTCCTCTAAATGTAGAAGATGAGCCAGTTGTTCTTTCATGAGAAAGCTGACCAGTGCCATAGATTAGGTGGTAGAGCGATCATTCTGTCAAAGGAATATAAGTTAAAACTTTCCTTTCGGACTTGGAGCCTAAGCAGTCCAACTTCCTCCTGTCACTATGTAATAAGTGCCGAGGAACTTTCTGTGTGATTTCCCTGATGCCTAAACATGATAGAGGAATTTGTTGACTAGTCCAACTCAGTGGTGAAATGTAAAATTTGTTACTACCAGTTCTGTGGGCGTGGTTTGGTGGGGGAGGGGTAATATGACTGAGTGGGCGTGGCCAACTTTTTTAAAAAAAACTTTTAAAACCATTTTTTCTACAACCTCTTCGGCTGAAGAAGTTGTAAACAAATGCTTTTAAAAGCCTCTGATGATCCCAGCTGACTTCCCTGATCGGCAGAGGCTTTTTTTCCTTTTAAAAACATTTTTTCTATAACCTCTTTGGCCGAAGAAGTTGTAGAAAAAATGCTTTTAAAAGCCTCTGACGATCCCAGCTGAGCCGCGCGATCATCAGAGGCTTTTTTTTTTTTACTTTTAAAAGCATTTTTTTGGCCAAAGAGGTTGTAGAAAAAATGCTTTTAAATATTAAAAAAAAGCCTCTGATGATTGTGCAGCTCAGCTGGGCATGGGGGGGAAGCAGGGATTTTTGCTACCGGTTCTTCGAACCACCCGCCTCCATCGTTACGGGATCAGGCGATCCGGTCTGAACCGGGAGCATTTCACCCCTGGTCCAATAGATGCTGACATCTTCATTTTGTTGGTTTGCTTGTTTGTTTTGCAGCGACTGACCTTGAGACATGTGAACAGCAACCAGTGTCTTGATGAGCCCTCGGAGGATGACAAAATGGTTCCTACCATGAAGGACTGCAGCGAAAGCCGATCCCAGCAGTGGCTGCTACGTAACATGACCTTGGGTGCCTAAAGCCAAGACACAGACTTCGTGTCCTTCCTCAGACCTTGGAAGGGTCTAACCTGCTCACCCTTCACACAAAAGGATGTGCTTCTTCTCTTGTGGTCCGTGAAGAGAAAGTGTTTGGGATGCTTGATTCAAAGCCCACATGCCAGAAAACTACTTTTTTTAAAAAAATTGCTTAAAAGCATGGTTGCACTTTTTTTTTTCCTCTCTCTCTCTCTGATTTTTTTTTTTTTTTAAACAAGTCAGCTGAACACATGGACGCTCTATCCACACTGGCATATACAGTATTACAAAGACATCGCAGTTTTGAGAAAAGCAGACTCCGGAAAAGGGTTACAAAGCAAAAATTGCAAGAGGGTGGGGAAGTTGGCTTGCTGTGGGTTCTGTCCTGTAATGTTGCTTGAAAGTGACAATGTTAAATGCCTTATGAAGCTCACTTGCATTGTGAAAGATGGTGAAACATTTGTTTTCCTCAATTGATGTACTTGTACCAGTCCTTCATGGTGACAGAGGAAGAATCCATTGTTAATCTGCTGCCAACCCATTACCTATGAATAGCCCAGCTGAAAAGATTTCTCAGCAGTAAATTTCTGTATATATTGGATGTTTTTCATGTATAGTGTCGGGGTGGGGTGGGGGGCATTTCTGTTCCTGAAACCTCTGTTAAAATCCACAGAACTGGATGAAGGATATTGCTGGTACGTGGAATGTGAAATCGAATTCATAGCCAAGGGAAGCATAAGGAAATGGGATTGATGATACCCACCGATGCCCTTTGCAAATTATAAATCATTACAAGCATTGTAACACATTTGGAAAGCTTCCATAATCTCACATTAATAATTAATATAAAAGGCAGCAAGAGCTGTTTTTATCCAAATTACATGAGATGCTGGTAGAAGAACAGGTTTATGAGTTAGACACAAGCTGATTTCAAGTTGAGTTTGGTTGCAATAGCTATTCCTTTTTGTCCTATTAAATGCATTTGATTTCTAAAGATTCTTGGTCCCTAGGCATAAATAAAAGCTCTGTATAATACCGATAGGTCTAATCTGAAAATGTCAACAATGCAATGCAACCCCTTAATAATTATTATGATATTATTACAAAGACGTATAAATCTTCCAAACATAGCAAGTTGAACTTTTAGCATATGACAGCTCCAAGTTCAGGACTAATTAAAAACATGTCTAATAAACTTGTCTGGTTTGTATATGGAGGACATGGAATAAGATATAACTATCTCTATAAACAGTATTTTATTTTTTTAAAGGGAGAGTTTTTTGTCACATATCTCTATGCCAGGTTGCAAGTAGGAACAAATTTTATCCAACATTGAAATCTGTATAGTTCTAGTGAGCATTACTGGGTCAGAAAGTACATAAAATTTACTCATTTTTATCTGGATTTAATTTATTGCAGTTTGTTATATCAGACCCATGGCTGCTATATCAGCCCATGGCTGTGCCAAAATTTCTGTGAATTCTGCTATATTGGGCAGTATGGACAGATCAGTTCCACCACTGCAATACTGAGAGATTGAACTGACCACTTTCACGTTTCATTCTGGCATCTTGAGAAAATGAGATGGTTCTTCCTGCAGATGACATCTCACTACGTGAGACTGTCTTTACATTATTATCACCCATCTGTTAGTTTTGAAGATGCTCATATGTCTGCTTTTCCTATCCCAGAAGCCTTCTCCACAAGTACCATATAAGTATGCTAGGAAAATGTCCGCATTTCAACAGGATCAGAAGCAAAAGAACATAAAAATATCAGCCTGGAATCCAAACCGGAGAGCCAGAGGGGCTGAGGCAGACAGCATTCCCTGAAAAAGAGGGAGATGGTCTGATCAGCAGAGGTGGGCAAACGGAAGATGTGTTCAAGAATACAGGTAGTCTTTGACCAGATTTCCGGATATAAATCATTACAGTCGTAAATTGAGTTGTTCGTGTGATTCGACCCAATTTAATGACTTTTGGGGTAGGGGTTAAACAAATCACTGCAGTTTCATAAGGGAATCTGTAGTCATTAAATGATTGCCATGGTCGTAAATATGAACCCATTCTTCCAAATGGGTGGTTTTTGCCGTCACTGAGGAGGGAGGAGACAATGGCAACATTTTACAACATCTGGAATTGCCATAAAACACTTGCTATCGTATTTAAAAAAGATCATGAAGTGATTGGTCCTAATTTGAGTAACTGCCTGTAATCTGATGTTGCCTGCATCCTTGACAAGTAATACAGCCCTTTAACTAAAGGGCACAGATTCAATTTGAAGTGTTATTGCTTATCCACAACATTCTAGGTTGATCTTGGACAGGCTGGCTATGGTTCCTATATTGCCTTTTTAGGGGAATACTGAGAAGCAGCAAGGTTTAGGTTATCCTGAAGGTTACCTTTTTAATACTCATCAGCCAAATTGACTGATAATATGGCAGCAGGCTTTGTTCTAGAGAAGAAAGTATTTCTCCCCCATAGGTTTTATCCCACAGTTTGAGTAACAGCAAGCCTCTTTTGCATCCTACAGCCATTCTAGCAGCCATGACCCTTGGAAGATCACTTATCATTCAGGGGTCATACTGTTCCAGATCCATCAAGTAAAGGGTTTTGTTCAAGCTCCTGTTAAGTGCAAGCTTAAATACATGGGGTCTGACTTATTTTTGAATAAGAACATAAAAAAGAACTTAATCTAGTGTAAGGAATCATGAGCATAAAAGTCCTATATATATAAAACTATAAATACAAATTCTTTCTGAAGAAACGTGGCTTGTGCTAAACAGTGAGGAATGTTACTGCAAAGTTAGCTGAAGCTAATTATTTTTAATCATTTAAGAAGAAGGTCCAATATAAGCAACACTTTTGCTTAAGTTATTAATAGGATGACATTAAAAAGTAATAAAAGCATTTGTTTGCAAAGGACAGAAATCTTCAAAAGGTTGGGTAGGAAGGGGGTCTTTGAAAGTTCGTAAGCAAAGTTCAAGAAAGGGGCAGTGGAACCATCAGGCGATCACTTCTCCGATTCCCACAATTTCAAGAAGGCTTACTAGGAATTTTAGGGGCTGAATCCCAACACAGTTCAATCCTGTGCCAGGATTTTGGCTTAGGGGAAGCAGTGGCAGGCAAAATGGCTACAAGCAGAATCAAGACCATAGTTTCTACTTCCACTAACCCTACTGCTAATTCCAATGAAATGTCTCCATGGAGCACCTCATGGACTGCCACATCAAATATCTACTTCTCCCATCTTTTTAGTGAGCAATAGGACATGGGGGATATGCCCCAGCAGCGTTATCATTATATTCCTAAATTGTTAAGGCTAAAATCCAAGTTCTGATAAATAGTTTTAGAGGATTGTACATTAGCTTGTGGTGTCCTCTCTCTGTGTTCTGTAGATCAATAAAATGTGTGCTGTTCCTCATTTGAATGGCATTGATTACTCACTTTTTAAAGTCACTTTATGATATCAGCAGTTGAGTTCAATTTAAACATTGGTTTGTTTGTTTGTTTTTGAAAATTTAAGTCAAGTTGGCTTTTCTCTCCCTGTGTGTAGATTAGAAACAATGTCCTAGTTTCATAGAAATGTGCCAAGGGACAATATAATAAATATAAAAAATGATTGAGGTATAAATACTTAAAAACAAGAACAGTATTTAAGAAAAGGTAAAACTTAAGGAACTTCTTGAAGAGGGAAAGATAGGTATATAAAGTTTGAGCCAATGGAAATAAGTTCATTCTGTCTTCAGAGGCTGCTTCTGGACTGTTGAATCCAAGAGCAGCACTTTTATCTAACAACAGACAAGCAAAATAGCCTTTTAAAAGGTGATTAGTACTGTACTGATAATTGATATAGTCCAGGTTTTTTTACTTGAAATTAATGAGATCATATCTGATCATATAAATTTTACTTGCATCTCATTTGTAGATGCTAAATATAGTCTCAAATGAGGCATATATTAGCGAGGGTGCTTAAGTGTAAAGCTACGAGTTAGGCTGAAATGGTTGAGGAAAGAAATTTGAAATAAATTTTATAATATTACTGTCTTCGAAGTCCTACTGCACCATTATAAAGTGGATAAACAAAACACAATTTCAATAGGAAATCAGGTTTGCAATTAACTATTGTAATAGGGACATCTTGAGAATTTAAACTGTGTATCCCACAAACCATTATACACATGTGCGCATACGGACACCCACCCAGCTGTGTTTTCCATGTATGGATAAATTAAAAAGTATGCTGCTATTACTGTATGAATGCATCTGGTAAGACTCAACCGCATTAAAATGCTACTAAATATATGGCTATTGTCTCATCTCAAAATGCTGACTGCGCATCAGCCAAAATGTCTTGGATTATGTGAATGATTAGCGTGAAAGTATTTTCAAACACTGAATGATATTTCTGAAACCCCACTTTTATTTTTTGTTTTCCAAGTAGACTAAAGTTGCCGTTTGTCTCTAAATGTTCAGGATAGCTGGGCCACTGATGTTCCAAACCCCTCCAGGCTTTGCATACATGTTAACAAAACCAAATTTGGCCAAAGTATGCATGCCAAAAGGTTTCTAGCCAGTCCCACCTTGTGATCGGTATGCTTCTGCGATGTGCAAAATTACAAAATTTATCACATCCCTGTATCTTTAAATGGAAATATCTGAAGCAAGACACCCAAAAGGCATAATATGCCAAAAGGGCCCCTTTTAAAATGGCCACTGTGAGTTTTTGTTTTTTGTTTTTTAATATACTTGATCATCTAATTTAGAGGAAGTATCCATTGGAAGAATTGCTCTTAAAATTTCCTACACTGCGTGCTTGGGACACAGTATACGTTACAATTCTTAAAAGAGTGGGCTGGGGTTCAAGAATTACCAATTTCAAATGTAATCGTTATTAAATGTTAACTCTGCTGTAAATTTTCAATATTTATACATTTTGTAGAAATAAAATATGCCAGTTTAGTTTTATTCTACCGGTGTTGTCGTTCTTAAGGGCATGACATTAAGTTTTGCTCCCTGTCTCAGATCATACCTTATGAATTTTATATTAGTGTTTCCCCAGTATGCTGGCTAGAAATTTCTGGGAGCTATAGTCTACACCTCTTAAAACTGCTTAAGTTAAGAAGCCCTGGTCTATACCCACATAGGTATGTAAATTAACTGTTAATGGGCAAAAAGATCCCAGTTGCATAATCTAGCATTATGTGTATATACTTTGTGTGTTTGCTTATCTGTGTATGCAGACAATGTGCATAAATACATTGAGTATGTATTTGCCATATGTTTTCAGAGCAACAAATGTGAAATCTTTTTTAAAGAGATTAAATATTATTCAGATCCTCTATAAATCAAGATTATTTGCAGAGGCAATGATCACTGCATTGCAATGACAAAAGCTTATACTTGCTTAACAAAATTCTTTTTTCTTCCTCACTTTAGAGGTGGGTTTCAGCAGGTTCTGACCAGTTCTGGAGAACTTGTAGCAGAAATTTTGAGTAGTTCGGAGAACCAGTAAATACCACCTCTGACTGGCCCCTCCCCCATCTATTCTCTGCCTCCAAAGTCCCAGCTGATCGGAAAGAAATGGGGATTTTACAGTAACCTTCCCCTGGATTGGTGTGGGAATGAAGATTTTACAGTATCCTTCCCCTGCCACGCCCACCAAGCCATGCCCACAGAACCGGTAATTTAAAAAAAAATTGAAACCCATCACTGCCTCATTATATATTACAAATATATTACAAATTTTAAATTTGTCTCAGCCAAATTATTTAATTGGTTTTTATTTTATTTTAAATTTTTGTATTTATGTGTTTTATTCTGTGGCTGTTCACCGCCCTGAGTCCTTCGGGAGTAGGGCGGTATAGAAATCTAATAAAATAAATAAATAAATAAATAAATAAATAAATAAATAAATAAATAAATAAATATATTAGATAGACCTTCTTGCATCCTACTGCTAGTGGACATAAAAAATAAAATATCGGGTTTATAATTCCATGATTCTGAAGTTACAATCATGATGTTTTACTAAGGTGGTATTTAAATTATCATCGATTTATAGACCATCTAGGTCCAGGACAACTGTGCTGTGAGTGTTTCTTTTTCTTTTTCCCCGGTTAAACAGTTCCCTCTGTTCTGATAATCTACCTGCTTTTCTCTGAACCAATGTAGTTTCTCTGAATGTATCTTATTGTCTGGTGTCCAAAACTGGTTATTCTACTCAAGATGGCCATTTATTTATTTATTTATTTATTTATTTATTTATTTATTTATTTATTTATCAATCAATCAAAATTTATATGCTGCCCTTCTCCCGTAGGACTCGGGGCGGCTTACACAATAAAAGAACATAATAAAATACTAAAACCAAAACCAAGTTAAAATCCCCACAATTTAAAATCACACAGCCGATCAGGGGTTTTGCCGAAAGAGCCATGTCTTCAGGTCAGCGTGGAAAGTGCAGAGGTCGGGAGCTGTCCGGAGCCCGGTGGGTAACCCATTCCAGAGGGTCGGTGCGGCCACAAAGAACGCCCTTGACCTGGGGGCCGCCAACCGACATTGTCTGGCCGACGGCACCCGGAGGAGAGCAGTTCTATGTGAACGCACTGGGCGGTGAGAGGCCGGTAGGAGGTGGTCCTGCAAGTACCCTGGGCCCATGCCATGAAGGACTTTATAGGTAAGAACCAGCACCTTGAAGCAGATCCGAAAGGCCACTGGCAGAGAGATGAAATATCTTCCAAGTGTAATAATCCAAACCAAGTATTCCACATCCAATCCCCAAGCATTTGATTTTTGTTCTCTAAACTAAAAAGAACCTGGTCCCAATTAGATTCCTTTATTATTTTCAACCGATTTATCTCATTTACCCAAAAACTCTTGAACTGTCTTCTTAAGCATTATCTATCTCACCTAATTTTGTTATCATATGAAAGTCTGATAAGCACTTCATTTTATTATTCATCCAAAGCAATCATAACAGTGAAAAGGTGAAGGGCTGATTTTGTTGCCTTCCGCTCAACATTTCTTTCCAATGGGATGAAGAACCCTGAATAAACCCTCATTCCGTGTGATTTTTCTAAGGCAGGTGGGCATCCACTTATCCTCCAGCCTACAGTGAACCCTCTTGATTAACAAATGCAGTTGAATATTTTTACCAAGTGTGTTTTTGAAACCAAGGTATGCATACAACATTTCCATAAAATGCTGAAGTTAATTTATTTTTTTAGATCAGATATGTTTAGCTTAATGTGATTCTTAACAAATCCATAGTGATTTGTCCTAAAATTATGGCATAGTTTTCAAGAGGCTTATGGATTAATTCACAGGCATCCATTCTGGACTTTTCCTTTTCCTTTTCCTTTTCCTTTTCCTTTTCCTTTTCCTTTTCCTTTTCCTTTTCCTTTTCCTTTTCCTTTTCTTCCCTTCCCTTCCCCTCCCATCTCCCCTCCTCTCTCTTCTCTCCTTTCTCCTTTCTTTCCGATAAGGACATTTGCCACCCTCCCATTTCCAGGTACTGATGTGTTAAATTGTGGGAGCAATCTGGTTAAGATTATCTCAAAAACGGCTACTCGGCCCAAGTAGTAAGAGACCCAGTCTGCAGACTAGCATTCAAGAGACTTTTCTGCCATTGATGTGGTTCTTGCTTCCTTGGTCTTGTCAGCTACTGTATGTGGGGCTTGACCTTTTCATTCCCAAAGATTTTTCAATGATACTATATTCAGTAAAAGTTTGGCTCTGAGCTCCTTACATTCTGAGGATGCCTTTATGGATGGCTGTACCACCCACAGTCAATCTCATTATTTCTAAGCTTCTACTTTTCTAATAGCCTTTTACAGTTCTGAGATATTAGTATGTGCTCTTCTTGGGGGCCCATGTTCTCTTTCCACCTCTGACTTGTTATTTTATGTCTTCGCTAAGTTTACTCATTGTTTCGGTATAGCTACGTTGGCTTCTTATGCTCTTTGCCATTTCCCCCCTCATTAGAATTGTTTACACTGGTGCTTTTAATAGTACTTTAAAGAACTCCCACCCACATTCTGATTCTTTTAAGCATAGTGTACCTTTCAGCTCCAAGGTTCTAATTTTGGGACTCATCCATCATGTCCCTATTATGCACATTCGTTTTCCAGTGCTATGAGCGCAAGCTCATCTCATTTGTTTTTCATAACTTTAAGCACTAAATGTTGAGCCTGTTTCCCCCCACCCCCCATTCCTTCACTGAGTGTTTGCACTGCAACCATTTCCACTCTACAATAGAAGTCTTCATCTACAGTAGAAATCATTACATTCTTCATTTCAGGTTTTCCTTTCCAACCCCCAGAAGCTTCACTTTAAATCTCTTACCAAGCTTCACCCACGCAGAGATTTTCCAGCCCTTGTAAGGTAAAACCTGTCTTGCTCCAGCTCTTTAGCATCCTGGCAATCCAGGCCATGCTCTCAAACAAAAAGCAAATTTCGCCTGGAAACACAATTTGCACAGGTAGGTGGTATTTTCTAGTGTCGAGTATACCAGCTGAGCTCCTTAATTATTGGTGATACGACTCTGTGTTTTTACAGCATCTTCTTCACATGACTAAGCAGCAAAGGAAGATTGATTCCCTCAAAACATACAGTTTCCTTGGTCTTTCTCATCTCTTCCTCCTCTTGAATTCCTGTGGCAAACTCCTCTTTCCTTCCCATATGGTATCTGTTTGCTTACTCAAATTATCTGTAAAGTGGAAGGTGCCACTATTTTTTAGGCTTTTAATTGAATAATCCTTGTATAGGTATGTGCATAAATATGAGCTGTCCAAAATATTGTGGTAAGACATATCACCATCATCATCTTCATTGGAAGGAACCTTGGAGGTCTTCTAGTTCAGCCTCCTGCTCAAGCAGGAGACCCTATGCCATTTCAGATAAATGGATGTCCAGTCTCTTCTTAAAAGCCTCCAGTGATGGGGCACCCACAACTTCTGAAGGCAAGCCGTTCCCACTGGTTGATTATTCTCACTGTCAAGAAATTTTTCCTTATTTCTAGGTTGCTTCTCTCCTTGGTTAGTTTCCATCCATTGTTTTTGTCCTGCTTTCAGGTGCTTTGGAAAATAGGTTGACTTCCTCTTCTTTCTGGCAGCCTCTCAAATATTGGAACACTGCTATCATATCACTACTAGTCCTTCTTTTCACTAGACCAGAAAAACCTTCATATGTTTTAGTCACCAGGCCCTTAATCATCTTAGTTGCTCTTCCCTTCATTCTTTCCAAAGTTTCAACATCTTTTTTATATCATGGTGACCAAAACTCGATGCAGTATTCCAAGAGTGGTCTTAGAGAGGCATATAGCTTTGTTTATTTATTTATCAAGAGCCTGATTTTATAAAGTGGAACAGTTTTAAAAATCATTGTAATGGTTATTTATTATATTCTTCATCTACAAATTTGAAACAATACTCTCTGGTTACATAAACATAGGAAATTGGTCACATTTCCATACTTGAAATCAATAGCTACTCAAATAGTTTAATAGCTAGCATGTTTCTGTGGGGGGGGGACTTTTTAAATATTCTACTCTAAATTATTTCTGCTATGTTAAATAGAAAGAAAAAGAGATGACCGGTGAAATAAAACATTAACACATAAAACAGTATGTAAATTTAATATATCTTCATTGTCAGGCAAAGAATGAATCTGCTGCCACATTTACCAACAAAAGAATATGTACTGCAATATATAGTTCTAATTTCCAATGACTTTATTCTGTAATGTAATATGACTTCAATAAGCAAAGATGTATTACAAATGTACCTGATCAATATGGTTTTGTGCCTGAGCTCTGCACATGGAAAGGGACTTATCCAAACTATAGTTAAAGGTTTTAATATTCTTCATTCAAAGCCATCAAATAATCAAATCTAATATCAATGTTTATCATTTTAGAATGTTGTGTTTCTTATGTTTTTGAACTACAGTATTACCATCACAGACAA